TGTGAAAATAAACGTAAGCAATCTGCGAGTTTCTTACCTTTTAATGAATTGAAAAAGCTGATTACTAGTTGTAATGAAGAAACCCCCGAAGGACTGCAGAACAAAGTATTTTTTTCTCTTTCCTATGAACTTGCTTGGAGAGGAGGCAAATGCGCACGAGCACAAATGGGTTTTTTTAAAGAAAAATTGCACATCAACGGGAAAAAAACTGGCAGAGTTGAGTACAATCCTGTATTTGCAAAAACCACACAAGGAGGCGATAAAAAATGTGCCGATCCCAAATGGTTATTTAAAAACAATTCAAACGTCAGCTTTTGTCCTGTAAGGCTGTTTTTTAAATTGAAAGAAAAACGAGGAGAAACAAAATGCCAACGACTTTTTCTGACGGTCAATCCACACTGGAAACAAACTGGACACTGGTACAAAAACAGTCCCGTAGTACCAAACCAGATCTCGACATGGACTAAAAACTAGGCACTACAAGTGGGACTTAAGAGTGATAAAAAAATTACAAACCATTCATTAAGGGCCACGGCGGTTTCCAAATTGGCCAAAAGCGGTTTGTCCGATGAAAACTTGATCAAAATGACTGGCCATTCAAGTGCGAAATCACTTTCCAGTTATCTACAGATGGATGAAGAACACCATAGAGATCTAGTAGAAAAAATGCGAGAAAGGAGCGAAATTCAACCTCAACTGTCTGCCAGCGGCCCCTCAACGTCTACATCTGCTGAGAAGCATACAAATGTGACAAATAATTAACATAACTGTAACTTTTATTATTCCATTAATAAATGAGTTTCTTGTTAAATATTATGTTATATACTAATTATTTATTTCTTAATGTCGTATTTCATTCGAGAAATAATCTCACTAAATACCACTCGAGCTTTAAAATTTACCATATAATTTTTCACTCTGGCATGTTTTCCTTACAAATTTCACTCGTCCTTCGGACTCGTGAAATTATGGAAAACATGCAATAGTGAAAAATGATCGGTAATTTCAAAGCTCTCGTGGTATTACCCCCAAAAATTTCTGAAAATTGTCGGTATTTGAAGTAAAACTGAAAATGATACGTTTTATGCGTAGCAAGAATTTCTTAATAGAAACTTTGCTAAAACTGGAATGACCTGAAAATTTAAAGAAACTTAAAAAATCTTCAGAGCGATGAGGGTGGCGAAGTTTCCAAATACTTGTTTTTTCTCTGGCTGGCCGTTTTTTTTTTCAAGATGATATTAATTACAAACTTTTGGTGAAAAACTGAATAAAATTATTTGGTTTTTGCGCCAAATTCAAAGCTAAAATGGGTTTTCTAAGGTTCCCTGCAAACACCGATAAATGAGGCGAATTTTATATCAAAATCAATTTTGCCATTTTTGCCTCCACTCACCCCATTACTGTCAGAAAAGAAGAAAATCATCAGAAAATTGTATGTTTTAGCTTTTTTGATTAAACAGCTTTGTGTTCGGTTTTTGCAAAAACCTTGACAGTTTCGACTCCGAAAAAGGTTTTTGTAAAATTTCCTCAAATCTATAAATATATATTGTAATTTTTCGGGTAAAGTACATCCAGATCGTCAGTATTTTTAATTAAAACTCTACAAAATTGATTTTTTTTCAGTAGGTAGTAGAGCAAAAAAAAATCAGTCCAAACCAAAAACCCACATTTTTTTAACAAACTCTACAGTCGTCAGAGGAATAGAATTGATGAGTTTTCCAAATAATTTATTATGAACTTCCGCTTATTCAGTTCGTCTTTTGATAGAAAATTATTAGATTTTTTCCCAAATTCGAAGCTGGAAAGGGATTTCAAAACTTTTTACAAGCCGACGAAGGATGCGAGTGTTCTAATAAAATATTTAAAATTATGAACTAATTTATCACGAAAAATACCTTAAGTATGTTAGTATTTGTAAGTGATTTTTTTCAAAATTGAGCATATTAAAAAAGACTAACATTGCTAAAACTGAAAAATTTTGAAATTTTGAAGAAATGTTAAACATATTATTGATAAATGGCCCTTAAAATAAATCTTAAAAGAAGTAAAAAAAGTCATCAACATTTTCCCAGCAACGGAACTGAGTTACTGTGTCGGTGCGTTGGGTTGGCGCACCAAGACATTTGTGGTAGCACTGCGCCAACTCCTAAAAATTCATTGAGTTACCCAGGCCTACGATAAAAACACTAATGGCCGGATGAATTATTTGCCGAAATAATCAAACTGCTAGAATGAGAACATACAGGTACTCTACTGGACTCATTTAACACCATATATAATACGGTATTCTTACCAGATGAATGGTTCATATCAACCTTTGTAGTCATCCTGAAAAGTTCCAACCCTAAACAATGTACAAATTATCGCACAATAAATCTTACATGGACATAAATCAGAATTTGTACATTTGCTTGATAGACTACAACAAGGGTTTCGGCAGGGTACAGACGACCACCTCATCACACTTTAAAAAAATGTAGACGGAAAAAGACATCAGAATTATTGCTGATTTATTCTACAATCAAAAATCAATGAAAAAGGCAAGTCCGGCAAGTTTCTACTTTTAAACTTATCATCCAGTAGAACTTATTTCACAACTCATGAAAGTTTAATACAGTGAAAAAGCAATGATTTAACTAAAATGTCCAAAATAAGGTAATGAAATCGCCTGAAAACTGCATTGGTGTTTTCGTATTTATAAATAAGTTCTGAGTCTGATTGCACATATTGACGGTGTGCAATTGTGTATGACAAGTGTGCCAATGGATTTCGTATTTCGATAAACCATTTTCCCAAAAAGCCAAAGCTCTTGACTTCACGATATTTATCACGATTCTCCATTCCGATGTAAATAAGGGAACATGGAAAAACTATTTCCGAGCAAATGCTTTGTCGCCAACGCTCACAAACTGCTGATTAGGAATATTCAAATTTGGCTAGCTGGTTTAATACCCAATTTTAAGTCATTTTAAATCAATTATTTAGCGGCTAAATGTAATAGTCGTTATTACATTTTTGTTGTTAAGGTAAACGCAGATAAAAGTCCATTAAATACATTGTAAAAAATGGAATTGATCATGAGCTACTAATATAAAATTTTAGAAACTATTATGTATCTGATGTTATTCAAAGACAATATATGATCACAAGTAAAGCCCAATAAAATATGTTATATATTTTCATTGACAATCTTCCAGAATCTGCCTTGCAGCCCGTGAGTAACTGAAAAATTAACTTCAAAGCATTGTTGTACAAAAGAGCTCCCCGTGTGTTGCAGATATTCTGGTCAAATTCAAATGAACAAATAACCAGACTTACTCCTGAAAGACTAGTAGCGTTTCCTATCTACTCATATTTGGCTCAGAGATTATTAACTCAAAGCAGGTGTTGAGGTTTTCGCGTTATTCAAGTGATTTTTCGTGAATCAACTACCGCACGTTCCAATGTTAAATCGGCCAAAAAGCCATTTCCTCTAGAGCATATTTTTCGTCAATTTATATTTTATAAACTTCAAATGTATTACATAACTATGCGTAAATGTATGTCAATGTTATATAAAATAACTTTGCAGGATCAGTTTTTTTGTCAGACAAGAAACAAAAAGGAAGATGTCGTTTCATGCACGCTCGTTCTCATGTGCATTTATGAACGAATAGAGTTATGAAAAAATGTCTAGTGCAGGAAACTCAACAAATATAGGATGAATGATGATCCTATACTAAACACATAATTTGTTAAATTGTTTCCCTATCGCGCAAAACTGATTTATCATTTGCCAACTATCAGTGTACTTATTATTCAATTTCCTTAGCAATTATTTTTCTTCTAATTCAAAGTACAATCATTAATAAGATTATTTATGTAATAAAACTTTCCTAATTAGTACAAATCGACAATGCAACAATAAGAAAAATCTGTTTGAGGTTACCTACAATAAGTTATACACTAAAATATAAAGTTTAAATAATATAAACATTGCATGCTTGATGGTAATCGTTCTTAATCTTGATATAATTATTGTTAATTATGGTGGTAATTATTTAGTTGTACATACTTTCCTGACTGTTTCAATTCCAAATCAAAATTAATTCCTGGGTTTGTCTCTATTTATCAATTAAAATACGTTTCGGTGTATTTTTCCACCATCATCAGTTTTTTCTAAAATAACAGATAGTTAAAAAAAAATTCATTAATTTAAAAAACAATCACTGTTCGTCAACAGCCTCATCATGTCACACACTAAAATACATCACAATTGCAACACTTTAAAACATTCCAAAATTCATTAGGCCTAACAGGTGATTAGTCAGGACAATCAAATTTGGGAAGAGACTAGAATTCTTTGTTCAGATACTCAAATATTTTTACTTACATGTGTAGCGTTGTTGCTACTTTAAGCCTTGGCATACATTTGGAGTATTAATTTTGTCCCTTTTGGACACAAAGCGAAATACTGTTTATATTGATCTCTTTTACTTTCAGCTATTTCTCTTTGCATTCTGAGAATATTATTTTTGGTTTGCAAAATTCTTCAATATACCGGGTGTTAGTTAATATTCTATGTTTATTTCAGTTAATTAATGTATGATATACTGAGCTAAGATTGTCGGTATCCGATCTGAAATTCATAGTATTGTTATGTTTTTTAATCTGTATCATTTCATGGACTCTTCTCTTATTATAATTACTGTCGTTAATCAGTATTTTTGTGTTATCAAAATCAAAATTATGCAACTTCTGTTGTGCATGCTGTGCTAATGCTGTACCATTTTCGTTATTTTTTCT